CTCAACCCTCTTACAACCCTCAAAGGGCGCAACAACTTTAATATACGCTGGGCAAAAAAGGCCTGCGGCGTGGTCATCCTTGCGCAGGGGTCATGCTGAAGATTTCACTCCAACAATTAGAATCACGTCTTGGGTAAATCAAAAATGCGAAGGCGTGGAAATACTTTTGCTAATTATCAGCGACCTATCTAAGATAAGTTCCCCGGACACGCGCAACAGAAACGAGGAGCTCACAGCAGTGCGAGCAGGCAAAGAGAGTTGCGACAAGAAGTGTTGAAATCATAGCACCGTTTCAAGCCGAAAATCAGCAGCTCACAATTTTGCCAGTACATCAGCGATGTCACAAGTAGTGAGGCCAATATCAAGCGGCTATCACGACAAGACTATATACTCGCAGATTACAGACATACCGGAGAAGCCTAAACGCTCAACAACACCGGGGCAAGTGTACAGCATTCTCTGCTAGTAGAATCCACCTGCACGTTTCCCGCACATGTCAGTGGAAGTTTGAATGTGCAGTTAAACACATCAACCCTCCCTTTTACACCTGGACTGCGCATATGCCAGGAACCAAGCCTAAACCCTAAACCCTAAACCAAAAGGCAGAACCCACCAAGTGCAGGGGCACAAGCAGCGCGGTGGTAGGATCTGGCGGGGCTGGTGGTAGCGACCGTGGTAATGAATGACCCAGATCGGCAGTCAGAGAATTGTTGCTATAATGTAGGGGCCTTGATAATTAGACTGGGGTTTTGGGGATCCCTTATTTTAGTTATAGTTATAGTATGATATATCCCAAACCCTATTTTAATTATTAAGATCCCTATATTGATAGCAAGGCTATTTGTTTGCGCTCTCCCTGGGCAGGAGGATGAAGCAACAGTGAGACGTTGTTCATTAGAAGAATACATCACAGATGAAGTAGCACTGACCACATGAATCAAACGTAAACTAGTCGCAGTCGCACCTAGCCGCACAAGCAACAAAGGTTGCGAGAACGGATAATATGGCTGCAATAGTTCTCTACCATAACTGGCATTTCTGTGTAAGGACAGCCCAGCGAGAGCAACTCACAGAAATGCAGCTTCAAAATAAAGTCCTGCTGGACACCAAGGCACCGAACGCACTGCAGGATTCGTAAGGATGGGAGAACAGAAACACCCGACATGGTCACACGGGCATATCAGAGTTCAATACTTCTGGAATGCGTGACAGCATCAACGCCGGCGAACACAGCCAAGAAAGTCGTTCAGAACAGCAGTGAACGCAGCAGAAGCGACACCTGTAATCACCAAACCACTACATTACGAACATTTCCAGGGTAAACTACATTGCAACAAAAAGTCAAGAATCTGGAAGCTGTTTTGGTTGTCGAGTATGGCAAATCAATTATCCGAAGTGCTACGCTGGATCTCGAAATGCTTGTAACGTTGCGGTTCGCGGATTACTGGTGGTGAGCAAACCCTAAATCCCCTTAAAACCCCTGGCAGAACCCTCTTATAGAATCCTTGCAGAACCCCTTACTGAACCCGTTTGGCGACCCTCATAGAACCCTATATCAGGCCCTCGGCCGCCCTCACATGCGTCCGGGTGCTGTAAAAGCGAATTGCAGATCCGAACGCCCGCATTCCATACATCCGGAAACTTACCTCATCATCCGGCTTGCGGTTTAGGGAAGTTCAGTAAATATGGAAACCTAAAACTTTAATGGAAGCCGTAAATCTTAATGTAAGAAACCCGTTGTGTTGAATCTGGACAACTGCACCGCAAGAAGTAAGCTCGTACCAAACAGCACTATATACTCGCAGGCTTGCCAAGCCGTCCCAACGAAATGAGTATCAACCTAAATAGGGGGGTCAAAATAATGAACAGTACTATTTTTACAAGACTATTTGAGGGGCTCCTTGTTATAATCAAAGTACAATGACATACCCCTGAAACCGATTCTAATCACTGACATACCCCTAAAACCGATTCTAATCACAAAGGCCTCCACATTATTTGGAATAAACCCCATTATGGATCCCTGAATGCTCCTCGGGTGTTCTGTGCTGGGCAAGCCGGTTCTCCTGACAAAAACTGGGGCCTCTGTGCTTTACGGTTCAGGGTTTAGGATTCTGGAGTTAGGTGGAAAGCCTGTTGCAAAAAAGGATTCTGGAGTTTACCGTGTCTGCAGCAGAATGCTGTGATACAAGGGTGGCGATTGGAGTCATCATGGCTCTCGCAATATTTACCTATGGTGCTTCATGTCAACACCGCCATCCTCGCTGTCATTGATGTGCGCTAATATGCATGAAGTCTTTGACTTTGCGTTGTTCAGAGCTCCCTACTGCTGGTATTGTTGTCATGTTGATGGTGTTGGCGACAATGATGCTGCCACCTTTGAACGGTCCTGCCCCAAACGACTGTTAAACAAAAACTGTAAGGAGGCTTTGGCCAAACGTAGACCCTTTCTCATAGAGCAAGGACATGTTCTTTCGCAGGTTGACTAGGCGCAATGATATTGACGGCCGCCTCCATGCGCTTATCGGGGTTTGGGGGGCCTACACGGGACAAGAAATTGTGCCAGAGACGCCCGGTCCGTGACCTCGCAATCATCTTGGGACTATAAACAAAGGGCTGCATCTCTGTCGAAAACGGCTTCGAGCGCGACCCCACAACTTCCATGGATCTCTTGATTTACGACAGAAATTGCGCTCATCTGCTGAAAAGTTTATGGCTGGCTTGGGCTGAGATGGGAAAGCTGCAATGCGACGCCCACAGCGACAAGCTTCCTGGTTTGTGGCGCATCAAGAGACATCTGTCCTGTGATTCGGACGTCTAGCTGGCAGGTACATCCTCAAAAATACGCAAGCTCATTCAACCAGCTGCAAAGGCAAACTCAACACCCCGGCAATCTCAACCCGCCCGTGTTGTGAAGATTTCAAGGATGTCGCAGCACTCTGAAACCAAAGCCCAAACTCGATCTCAGCCGCCAAAGCCCAAGCCCTAAATTCTTAAAGAGCCCTTATGGTACCACTATCGCACCCTGGAGCCTTATGGAACCTTGAGCCCAAAGTCCCCGAAGCAAACCGCGAGTAGGGTTCCATTAAGGTTTCCAACTATAAGGTCTACTATCGGGGCATGATAATTTTTACTACTTTAAATAAGTGTTCTCCAAGGGCTTCGTCCGTCGGGCCTGAATCCGACGTAGCTTGCCCAGCTCCGAGCGGGTCTTTGAACGCAGCTTTTGCAGCTCCTGCTCAAGGGAAAAGCGGGCGGAAGTCGAGGAATAGGTGTCGAACAGTATTACGGAAGATTTTGTTTTTTTGTATTGCGTTGTTTTTATTATACTTCCTGATTCTATTCTAGGGGCTTGATGAACACTGTGATAGATGCATGTCGGCACCTTGTTTAATAGAGTTTTTGGGTGTGTATATATATACATACATATGTATATATAGAGATATACAATATAATATTATATAATATACAATGTATAATATATAAAAAATATGATATATGATATATATATATATGTATAATAATATATATATATATAATATTATATATTAAATAACATATATATATATATATATGTATAATAATATATATATATATATAATTTAGAATCTACATATATATATATATATATATAAGTACAAAATCACATGAACCACGACCCTTATATTGGGTCCTGTTTTGTCTATCGTGTTCAGAACCAGGCAGCAGCAAGAGTAACTCAATGACACAACTCTCAGAGTCCCAAAGGTCTCCACCACAGCATCAGAAGCTGACACGATGCGGCAAACACCTCCTTAGCCAAAGCCCCAAAGCATTCTCTCAACCAGGCGAGTATGTACTTTCATCGAGAATTTAAAGGACATATCAAACGTCTGCTGATCCTCAGTATAACTTAAACTAAAAGGAGCTTCATATTAAGATTTAAGATATATTCCTTATTTCAGCGGTATTGGGCTCTCTGGGAACATCGTGATGACAAGCACATAGTTGGTTGGACGCTGGAGATCTGCAATGCACGTCAGAGCAAGGCAGCTCAGCTCCACTTTTTATTGGATGCGCGCTGTCTCAAAATGACACGAGCAAAATGCTACGCTATGCGCTGCTTCTTCGACCCTTCACCGTATCTGGAGTAGTCCACGCAGCGGCAGTTCTTCATGCCGCACTTCCGGCAGAACTCCCCTTTCATGGCTAACATCATGCGCTTGTCACCCTCCGATTGCTCTTCGGACCAGTCCAAGATCTTCGTGGGCTGGTTGCTCGAATACGCGCGATCAACCAGTGAGGTCTTCGCCGCATCTGCTGAGATCTTGTCCTGGTACTCCAGAAGAGCCTTCTGGGAGTCTGTGTCTGTGACGCGAGTGTTGTTCAAGTGCAGCGTCTGCGCGCCTGCCTTGATGGCCAAGGCAGCAAAGTCGCCGAACTTTTGATCTGGCATCTTCGTTCCCGCTTCGTCGGGCCTTGTTGGCGTCATGTTCTTGTTCACCTTTCTAGCTTCTCCTCGCCGAATCTTATACATGTCGCCATGCCCTGTCTGGTAGAAGCGCTGCATTTCTGCCGGGTCTGTCATGTTGAAGATTGGACCGGAACCCTGTCCATCCTCTTCGATGCTACTGTACACGGACTTGGTCTTGGCCTTTCGTCCCACGAAGTGAAGCGCACCTTTCCTGGAAGAGAAAGGGCTGTAGAGCATGAACACTTCGCCAACGGTTGTGGTAACGACGAGCTGGTTCAAGTCTTTCTGCCACACCACCCGGAGTGGCGACTTCTTGCCGAAGTCCAGGCTCTTCACTAAACCAAAGGTCTTCACGTCGTAGATTCGCAGGGTTGCGGAGCCTAAAGCCCCCTTGGCAAGGGAAGTGCCCGTCACCAAGTAGCGCCCGTCTGGCGACGTGCAGATGCCGGTCTTCTCGTGTGCTGTTCGCAAGTCATCGAAGACCTTCACAGGGCCCTTGGCATCTGAGAGCATCCGGCAGTCCCAGACTTTCATGGAGTTGTCCAGTGACCGAGTCACAAGGAGGTTGCTCTCGCTGCCCTCCGGTATGAAGCCCACATCTGTGAGAGGTTCTGTGTGGGCACTCCGGAGGATCCTGTCCGGTCGCATGAAGCGTGCCTTGTCAAAGAAGAGCTGAACTGACCCGTCACTGCAACCACCGACAATCTTCTTCGCATCGGTGGGCGAGTAGACACAGCACGTGGGGTAAAGGCCCCCCGTTTTTCCAGATCCTCCGCCCACGCAAACATTACGACGGTCCACCGTCTTGAGCACGTGGACGGAGGGTAATTCTTGGTCCATGCCGACAGGATCTGCAGTCATGTCCCACATCCGCATAGTGCCATCCAGAGAGGCTGTCAGAAACAACTCGCTCCTGAAGGGGTGCCACATGCCCGAAGTCAGAACCTGCGTATGGCCTTTAGTGTGCTCCATCTGACGGACGTACATGTCACCCTGAACTGTCTGCTGGATGAGCTTGGTAGAGCCATCACGGTCGTAGATACGGGCATGGATGTCTGCATTGACCACCAAGACCTCGGAGCTTTTGAAACGGAAAAGGCGACCATGGATATGCAGTTTCATATGTATATGCTGCTATGCTGTATATGTATACGTCCATGCACATGTATATGTACATGTGCATGTCTGTATGTATCTATGTACGTATGTAAGTACCTGTATGTATGTATGTATGTATGTATGTATGTATGTATGTATGTATATACAAGTGCATGCACTATAGCATATATATACATATATATATGGTACC